CATGGTGCAGTTCATGGTTCCCGAGCAGCAGCGCGGTGGGAAGCTGGCGCCGAAGGATCGCTGGGGGCTTCACATAGGTGTGTCGCCAGAGAGTAAGGGCTGGGAGGTGCTGGACCTGACCGACAACAAGGTGGTCACATCGGTTGAGGTGATCTTCTACGAGATGCTGTCACTGGAGGTGTGGAAGACGAAGTATGGGCCGACGTCGGGGCGAACGCAGGCACACCCGCCGACGGACACCTCGACGGCGACGGTCCTGCTGCTCGCCGACGTCGACGAGCCTGCTGATGAGGATGTTGTGGAGGTTCCTCCACCTTCCCCTGTTCTTGCTCCTCCCTCCCCCGTCGCAGATCGGCTTGCGTTGACACCTGTGTCGGCCACCAGCGATGAGGGGAGCCTTGAGGCGTCGCCTGTGGCGCCGGCCAGTGGCATTGTCGGCAGTCGACAAGGCGCCAAGCTCGTTGACCAGAATCGGAAGCCGCCGATGACAGGGGAGCAGCAGACAAGGGAGCTGGTCGAACACAAGGCAACAGCAGGCGTGCTGTGGACAGGGGAGCAGCAGACGGGACCGTCGACAACAGGCGAGTAGACGGTCGACGGATCGAAGCAGTTGGTCAACGACGAAGAGGTCGAGGAGGAAGGGGAGCTGTTGGCGGGAGAGGAGTCCACCAACAGCGACGTGGTGGAGGTTCCGGTCGAGAAGCCTGCGCCGGAGCTGCGGCGCTCTGGTCGAGCTCGACGGCCGCCGGAGCGGCTGAGCTTCCACGCATGCCTGCCACCAGCTGCCTTCACCACGGTGTATGACAAGGTCGACGACGACCTGCTGTACGATGACGCCGAGGAAGATAAAGACTTTCCAGAGCTCGGCCCGGACATGCACGCCAACCCCGAGCACCGCTGGGACATCGCGACGATGACGGTGAAGGAGGCGCTGGCGAGCTGGAAGGGTCCAGCGGTGAAGGCTGCCATGGAAGAAGAGATCCGGAGCCTCATCAGCATGGTGACTTGGGAGCTGGTCAAACGCCCACGCGGAGTGAACATCATGAAGAATCGGTGGGTGCTAACGACACCGTAGAGCGCGAGAAGGCGAGGCTGGTCGTGAAGGGCTTCACGCAGGTGTACAGCGCCAACTACGACGAGACGTACTCGCCGGTGAGCAGCTACGTCACGCTGAGGATCTTCCTCGACCTCAACCTGATGCAGCTCGACATGAAGAACGCCTTCCTGCAGAGCAAGCTCGACAGGGTGCTCTACATGTATCAGCCAGACTACCTCGACAATGGGACCGTCCGGCTGTGTAAGCTGCTGAAGAGCCTCTACGGGCAAAAGCAATCGCTGCTGCTGTGATACAGGGCGCTCGACGGTGTGCTGCTGGGCGCTGGTTGGAAGAAGAGCCATGTCGACGAGGCGCTCTACTTCAAGACCGGCGACGACGGAGTGACCTGCTGGGTGCTGGTCTATGTCGATGACCTGCTCGCCGCCAGCAGCAGCACCACGATGCTGAAGGAGCTGAAGGAACTGCTGGAGGCCGCCGTCAAGCTGCGTGAGATCTCGCCGATGGTGAAGTACCTTGGGCTGGAGATCGTGCGCGACAGGCCGGCCAGGAAGCTATGGCTGCACCAGCAGAACTACGCCGATAAGCTGCGTAGGCGCATCATCGACGAGGAGCAGGGCGGTCGAGTCCCGAAGACCCCGGTCTCGGTCGACGCCTACGTCGAGCTGACGTTCGACAAAGAGGAGGCCCAGGGGCGCGAGGAGGAGGATTACCGGCAGAAGGTCGGCTCGCTACAGTTCTCGGCGATGACGACAAGGCCGGACAACGCGTTTGCCTGCAGCAAGCTGGGGAGCCGCCTCACGGTGAGGAGCGACCAGCATTGGCGCGAGGTCGACCGCTGCCTCGCCTACGTCGCCGACACACGCGACACCGCCCTGGAGTTTGGCGGTGGACCAGAGTCGCTGGAGCTGATCGGCTACGTGGACGCCGATGACGCGGGCGACAAGCAGAAGCGGACGAGCTCCGGCGGCTACGTGCTCGTCTTCGGAGGGGCCGCGGTCTCCTGGTCGAGCCAGCGCATCAAGTGCACGACGCTCTCCTTGACCGAGTCGGAGTACGTCGCAGCCACTGACGCCGGTAAGGAGGGGCGTCGACTCCGCTTCCTCCTTGCAGAGTTCAAGCTGCTCGACCCCGGGAAGCCGAATGTCCTCCGCGTGGACAACAAGTCGGCGATCACTGTCGCTGAGGGCATGGGGTTGACGGGCAACCTGAAGCACATCGAGCAACGCTATGCCTGGCTGCAGCACATGGTGAGGCGCGGGAAGTTCGTGCTGAAGTACATCTTGACCACCGAGCAGCCGGCGGATTTCCTGACGAAGGCGCTGCATTTTCCGGCTTTCAACCGGTGCTCGGTCGCTATCGGCCAAGTTAGTCTAGCCGACATCGGCGACGGCGACGATGAGGTGCAGCAGTAGGTGTCGTGCCCTTCTGCATGGCTGGTGCGGTGACGGCGTGCTGTGTGTCGGGTGCACGCCAAGGAGGAGTTTTCCCCATTGATTACTGCCGTGTGGGCTGGAGGCCCAAGCATGAGCGCGGCAGAGGAGTGTTAACGGGAATGGAGTGTTGGCCCCACCCTCGCTTGGGCAACGCTGACGACTTGGTCGGATGTACGGGAGTAGCAGCCGACCATTCACAGTGGGAGAGCTGCTCGACAGGCTACATCGAGCTGCAGGGGACCGCTGTGGCGCTGCTGTCGACCAGGAAGCTCGACAGCTGCAACTAATTGGCCTGGGCAACGGGTGGGCCGTCTGGGTGGTCGATGGAGCAGTCTGTCGACCTACTGTTTGACGGGGAGGTCTGCGGAACATCCCGTCGACCTACAGGTCGACCGGGAGGTCCGCGAAGCATCCCGTCCACCTGCTGCTTGACCGGGAGGTCGACGGAGCAGTTCTGGTCGACAGAAGGGGGTCCGTCAACCAGGGGGTAGCTCGACGGAATCTATGGTCGACCAGAAGCATCTGGTGGTCGAACAAAGGGAGCTGTGGTCGACCAAAGACACCTGGTGGTCGAGCGGAGGCACTGGTGGTCGACCGAAGCACCTGGTGGTGTCCGGGTGGACCGGGTAACCTGCTCGATGAGTTCTACGGAGGTACGCAAATGTCGTCGAGGTCGCGATGGCGAAGGCGACTTCAGGATGGTATCCTGAAGTCGATGTGGCTTGTCAAGCGTAGACAACAGCCGACGGATCCACAACAAAGCAAGTCGGGCCAATCGTCTGCGCGCACCTGCAAGCGTGCGCACTGCTGTCTTCTACGGGGCAACGCTGGACAGCCGTGACGAGAAGTGAGAATGGAATGAATGAACTATGAAACAGTTGGGTACAAGTACTAACCCTAATTGGGTTGTACCCCTTATGGGCTACCCCACTACAGCCTACACAAATGTATAAGCTATAATGTTCTGACACACCCCCATAGGCAAAGTGGAGGAGAACAAGTGGTCACAAGACCAGTCAAGCAAAGCAAAGCAATCTCAGGGCACAAAGTCACCACACAGTCCAAGCACAAGAGTAAGGCCACAAGGCCAGTTCACATGCAAGATCATATATATAAAGGTAAAACAAGCAAGGGCAGGTATAGAAAGAAGACAGTACAAACAAGATCAAGAAGTGAGCAAGTGAGGCCAGGTAGGCACAAGAGCTAGCACAGTACAGAAGCGCTGGTGATCACAAGGCGGAAGGGCCTTGGTGAAGATATCAGCAGTGTTGGCCTCAAAGGCCACGTAGGTGAGGCGGAGCTGACCACGCTGCTGCAGCTCACGAGACAGGAAGCAGCGGAGAGCAATGTGCTTCGTTCTGTGCTCCCGACACAAGGCCAGCATGGCCTTGTTGTCTACGTACAGAACTGGAGGAGAACGAGGCGGCTCTCCTAGATCAGTCAGCAGGTAGGTGAGCCAGCATAGCTCCTGTGCAGCCATGGCCCCTGCTGTTGTGTGATGCAACCATATGCATTCACGTCTGTCTGCCTCCCATCATGTGTTTGTGCGTTGCATGCGTGGTGTGAGCGTGTGCAAGAAATTTGTGTCTTGTGTGGTTTGGAATTTCTGTGTGTGTGTGTGTGTGTGTGTGTATGTTATTTGGCTTGAACAGATATCTTAAGTGATTCCTCTACTCAAGAGCTTTCCGACGAACCAAGAATCGTCGCGATCGGAGCACAACCAAGAAAGTTACGAACATTGGAGTTCGTATACTTATATATTTTGGTTGCAGCTACTTTGGGAAGTTGTGGCATTGACTCAATATGGGGTACAGACTTGTGGGGGTTGGGAAATTCGAACCCATCACTGTAGATGCTGCCAAGAGGTTGGGTGAAGCCAAACCAGGTTTGTAAGTGTGGCCAAGTTGAGGTGAGGTGGATGGCATGGGTTGGAAAGTGACAAAGGTCAAAGTTTGTTGCCTATGGGGAAGGGAATTGTGTGGCATGGGGTTTCCTTGGTTGGGGACTCTCTCTTGGGACCTTCCCTCTCGTCCTCCTCTTCCCCTCCTACCAGGTTTAGTACTACTCTAATGTTCTTTTGTGGGACTTGTGAGTTAATTGTGATGGAGTTAAATTTCTGTGGCAGCATACCCCCTAGAGCGCCGAAAAGCATACCTCAAGATATGCTTCATATTTTGATACGATTAAAATTGGGAAATGTAGCCACAGTCTAGGGCTCCATCATATTCGAATTTCGTGGGATTCTAACAGTTCACCTTTCGTCGACAACGATTCTTGTGAAGTCCACGTTTCTGTCCAGAAATTGAGACCAACGATTTTGAGAAATTTGGGCACCTAATTTTCATAGACTCCGTCCTTAGTCTTTAACACCTGCCTAGATCTCAGCCTCACAGCTGGAGCCGAGAACAGAGGACGAGCGGGTAGACCGCCACGAAACAGAGCTGGAGCCAAGGCTGAAGGTGTAACCCTGTGACGACCGCTGCGTAGCCTGGTCGTCAGCCCAAGAAGCGTCAGACAGACTCAGACTCAGCAACAAGACTGGCAGCGTAGTCTAGACGACAGCGAGCAGTGAAGTCGACAAGCTCAGCAACAAGAGCACGCGCAGCAGCTGACTCAAAAAGAGGGTCAGTGACAAAAGTAGCAAGAAGGCGTGTGACCGAAGGACTAGCAGCACGAAGGGAGTCAGACTCCGGGTCAGCAAGAGAAGGAAGAGAGGACTCTGGAGGAGACGGCAACGGGACACGCAGAGGAGCAGTGGAAGGACGAAGTGCCATCTGGTGTGTGCCGGGGATCGCAGGAGGACGCGGACGCGCAGTACGACCACTTGTGCGAGCAGCACAAACAGGTGACGCGGGACGAGACGCAGGCTCACGATGCTCAGCAAGACCTCCAGTAGGACCAGTGTAGGGAGAAGGAGCAGGTAGAGGGGAGGCGGGCGGTAACTGTGACTGCGACTTGACAAGCGGTGAACACTCTAGGGGAGGAGCAGGACCAGTTAGAAGGCGGGAGACCAAGAACCTGCTCCAGAAGCGGAACGAAGTACGGCCTCGGCCGCGCAGCGCCTCTAGAACCAGCAAGTACGGCACCATTACCCCCAGCGGCAGCACTAGCGCCAGCAGAACCTCCAGCTCCAACAGCGCCAACTCCAGTTCCCTCAGAAGCACGAGCGCCAGCAGCACCGCCAGCGCCAACACCCCAAGCAGCTCCAGCTCCAGCAGCACCAACTCCGGTAGGACCGTCAGCACTAGTAGAAACACCAGCCCCAACACCCCCAGCAGCTCCAGCTCCAGCAGCACCAACTCCAGTAGGACCGTCAGCACCAGCTGCCTCAGCAGCACCCCCAAACTCACCAGCACCAGTAGAAACACCAGCGCCAACACTCCCAGACTCAACAGCACGTCTCCAACGGCAGGCGAGCCACACGCGCAGCTCCTGTGGAGAGAGCGGCTCCCGCCTCGACGAAGTACCGCCAGCGGCCACACGAGGAGACCTAGCACCCCCAGGCTCCACACCCCCAGACTCAGCACCCCCAGGCTCAGCACCTCTAGTCTCAGCACCCCCAGACTCAGCACCCCAAGACCCGGCACCCGCAGACCCGGCACCCGCAGGCTCAGCACTTCTTGCAGCACCAGAGTCTACAGCTACCTCGACACGCTCGACTGCGTCTACCTGGGACACACCTGAAGGGGCAGGACCTTGAGGAGGGAGGGGGTCTACCTGAGTAGCATCTGGCGCAAGGAAGAGCGGCGGCGGGGGGAGGGGCGCAGTGCGGTAGGGGAAGAGATGGTAGTAAGGCACCGACTCGTCAAAGGTGACGTCCTGGGAGGACAGAACACGGCGCGTGGTGGGGTGGTAAAACTGCCACCCAGGCGCGTCAGGGGGGAAGCCTAGGAAGACGCAAGGAACAGCACGGGGGGACAGCTTGTCCGCAGACATGTCCCGGACAAACGCCCGAGATTCCCAGACCCGAAACGCAGACGCATTGCCAACCTTCCTTGTCCACCGCAAGGTGGGGGAGGTCTCCGGCAAGGAGACCCGGGGCTGAAGGTTGAGCTGATGCGCGGCGTACTAAACCGCAAACGGCCACAAAAAATGGGGGCCAGCCGCATGCATTATGGACGTATGCGCGACGTCCATGACTATGCCAATGCGGCGCTTAGCAATCCCATTTTGCTGTGGAGAGGCCGGAAGCGTGAAGGTCTGGCGGATGCCCTGTGCCCGACAAAAGGCTCCCAGATGGGCAGAGGAAAACTCCCCTCCTCTGTCCGAGTGCAGACGCAAAACAGGAAAGTCCGAGCCGAAACTCTCTCTGAGCTGGAGACGAGTTGCACGGATCCAGTCGATCAACACTTCAGTGACGTCACCCTTGCTGTGCAAGGGGAAGACTGTGGTGTAACGCGAGTAGTCGTCAACGATCAGCAGAAAGTACCGCTCTCCCCCCTGCCCACTGACGCGGGCTGGGCCCCACACGTCCATGTGTACAGCGGAGCCTCTGTCGGAGGAAATTCGGAGGAGTGAGGGGCGGCGCGCTGTCGCCCCTCAACGCAGGGGACGCAGGTAGGGCCAGGCCCCGGAGGAAGGGGAGGGAGAGACCGAGGAAGACCAGAGACAAGGACACGGGAGGCCATGCCTCGGAGACGAGGCAAGGAGGGGTGACCAAGGCGGTGGTGCCAAAGGAGAGTCTGGTGGGACAGCAGACGACACGAGCAGGGGGCACACTCAGGACCAGACCTGGACGCCGCAGCAAACACCTGACTCGACGCAGCTACCTGACCAGACTCAGCAGTAGGAGGAGACTCATCAGTAAGGGTGTACAGGTTCGATCCTGGCCGACGGGTGAACGTGGCCAAGTGTCGGCCTGTCCGAGCACACCTGCAGTGGGTCACTCGCTGACTCGCAGGAGTGAATTGGTCAACCCCTCGATCCTGTAGGTCCGGTCCACTCACCAAGTTCGTAGAGAACGAGGGGAGGTAGAGACCACACAGGGTGCCAAAGGGGGCTGCAGGGCACGGAAGGACAGTGGAGAAGCTAGCAAGGACAGGACTCCCAAAGGGGTCTGCTAGGGAGACTGCAACCGGCCGACTAAGCGGCGTAAGAGTGGTGCGGTCTCGAAAGAAGGAGCGGGAGGCACCCGAGTCCAGGGTGAAGGTGTGGAAGGCCTGAGCCGACGTAGTACCTGAGAGAGCAGACTCACCAGCACCTGGGGCGGCAGACGCACTGGCACCTGGGGCAGCAGACGCACTAGCACCTAGAGCAGCAGTCTCACTAGAACCTAGCGCAGCAGCCTCAATGCCCGGGTCAGGCGGTACACACAGGTAACAGGCACTCTCAAAACTATCAGCAACAGCATACATGGCAGCAAGAATTGCATCAAAGTCAAGATCAAAGATAGCAGCCCCGGCCTTAGCCAGATCTCCCCAGCGAGGGATCTCTGACGCCTCAGGGAACTGGCAATGCCACGTGTCCGTCAGGCAACCAAAGCAGCGCTGGGTGGAGTGCGGACCCCCGCACTGCTCACCAGTGCAGTCGCCGGTACGGAGAACGTAAGAGCAGGGACCAAAACCCCCACCGCGCTGGCGTGCAGTGTATCACTCACGAAGCTGCTGAGGGGACAGGGTCACACCACTCCGCTGCTGCTGCTGGCGCTGACCACGACCGGCGCCACTCCTCGACGCAGAGTCGCGACTCGCTCCACCACCGCCGCCTCCGCCGCCGCCGCCGCCTCCGCTGGCTCCGCCGCCTCCTCCACCTCCGCCTCCTCCACTAGCTCCGCCGCCTCCGCTCCCTCCGCCACCTCCACCGCCTCTGCCGCCTCCACTGCTGCTGCCGCTGCCGCCACCCCCAACACCACTCCCACCACCACCCCCACTCCCTTCACTGCCTCCACCACCACCTCCACCGCCCCCTCCACCTCCTCCAGTGCCCTTGCCCCCCTTGCCCTTGCCGGTGCAGCGTCTCCCGCTCGGGGCAGACGCAGCGCCGACCGACTCGAAACCAACGAGGTCGGCCGCAGCAGCAGAGGCAACAGAGGGCAAGAGGGGGGAGGGAGAACACCCCTCAAAGACGGGGGTGCGAGGGTCACCACGAGAGGCTCCTACAGCGACTATGCTCTTCTCTATCGCTAGGAGGGCCTTCTCGAGGAGGTCAACGGTGAGAGTGGTGGGGCAAACAGAGAGGAAGTGGTCCCTGACTACACGGAGAGAGTCAGGGAGACGGGTGACTATGTAGTAGAGGGTGATGTACATGGGGGGGGGGTTCTTGGCGCAGAACTCAGCAGGAAGCGCAGCGCGGTAGCGAGTGTCACTAGTGCGGAGGTGCGTAATGAGGTCAGCAACAGTGGGAAAGGAGCAAATGAACTATGAAACAGTTGGGTACAAGTACTAACCCTAATTGGGTTGTACCCCTTATGGGCTCTGATACCATGACAAGAAGTGAGAATGGAATGAATGAACTATGAAACAGTTGGGTACAAGTACTAACCCTAATTGGGTTTTACCCCTTATGGGCTACCCCACTACAGCCTACACAAATGTATAAGCTATAATGTTCTGACAAGCCGCTCTGCTGCAGCGTTGGCACGCTGTCGACCTACAATGCTGGCAGGTCGCTCTTCTGCAATGCTGGCGCGGCTCCTCTACGCAACGCTGGCACGCGGTCAACCATGGTGTGCTGGCGGTCGACCAGGCTAGGTGCAGAGTTGCTAGGTGTCTGATATAGTCATTCTGTCATTGCTTATTCAATCATTCTGTATTCTCAATCTTTGCTAGTGGAAACTCTTGCCGATTTCTCCCGTGAATGTACAAGCGCTAAGGAATACAAGCAACGCTACGATCACTCATAGTAGTTTGTGCCAACCCCTGTAGTCTAGCTCACTACCGCTGTAGAGTGTATCTTCGCATCATGGGATCCAAGAATCTGGCCTGGTCGTAGGAAAGGATAACAACGAATCAGTTTGTGAGGGGACGTGAAAGTGAGCACTGTTAGGCTGGAAGGCAAAGGGCAGCCAAAGGGGAGGTGTGGAAGCCAAACATATGAGAGGCAACGGTGAAGGATGAGCAGATGGCAGGAACCAAGGTGCCATAGCGTGCTGAGTGCAGGTGGAAAAGGGCAGGCATCATATCAAATGAAAAAAGGTAGAGCAAAAACACCAAATCGGGGTCAAACGGGCAGAACGAAGGACAGGGAGAGCTGGAAATCGGAAAAATGGGGGAGGGGAAAGAGGAAAAGAGAGAGTAACGGTCACATAGGGCCGGAGTATGGGCAGAAATACATAGGTGTGACCAGGAGCATGGAGGGGGCGAATGGTACCAGAGCCGGGCAAGGACAGGCATGTTGAGGGAAGTCCATGGGTATATCGTAACAAAAACGTTGTGAGAGACCGCAGAGCACCGGGTAAGTGGAGGATGGGCAGGGTGGGGGGTAAAAAAAGGGGGATAGGGAAGGTAGGGGGGTTGTGGGAGCACAAGAGCAGGAGAGCAGAAAAGTCGGCATGGAATCAGCCTGATAAGGCATGTCTGAACAGATAATAAGTGTCAGGGTGGGGAAGTGTAATATGGGCAACAGAAAGGGTTGGTTATGGGGGGGATCCTCCCGCCAGGAGCAGCTGCCCTTGTAAGAACAGAGTGTTTGGTCAGAGGGCAGCTGGGGAGACATTGGGAGGCGCATCAGCATGTGCGAGACAAAGGGAGATGGTGAAATTTGTACACACGTAAAGACAGGAACCAACCGCATCTGGGTATCCGTGTACTCACTACTGAGGGAGCTGCTACTGCAGGAGGCACACTACGGGGTTACCTCAAGTCATTTCGGAGGCACACGACACGGTTATGGTCATCGTTGACAGGTTGACGAAAATGGCACACTTTGCTGCATGCAAGAAGTCGATCTAAGCCGAAGAAACTGCTCGCCTGTTCATCGCACCCGTTGTTCACCTGCACGGGATACCAGCAGCGATAATCAGCGACAAGGACACGAAATTCACCAGCAATTTCGGGAAGAACCTCTGGGAGCAGTTCGGAACAATGCTACAGTTCAAGTCGTCGTACCACCCCAAGAACGACGGTCAAACGGAGCGGACGAATCATACGATGGAGTAGTTGATTCGTGCCATGTGCGACGACCCGACAACTTGGGAGCAGGAGCTGCCGCTGATTGAGTTCGGGTACAACAATGCCTCGTCAGCGACGAAGCAATAGTCTTCGTTTTACCTTAACTACGGGCATCACCCCACGGTGCCCATGACGCCGAGTCTGGACAACCCCACGCCACGCGCATAGCAATTAGCCAAGATTCTGCAAGCTGCCCAAACCAGAGCCGCAGAAGGAATTAAAAGGGCCAACGTTACCGCTAAGCGCAACGCTGACCGCCACCACCGCCCAATCACGTACTAGTCAGGGGATTACGTATCGCTCGACACGAAGAACTTACGACAGCCCAACGTACCAAAACATTGACCCTGCTACTGTGGACCTTTCCAAATCAGCCACATGATTACGCCGGTGACCGCCCATTTACTGTTGCCGACTTACTGATACGTCAGCCCATCGTTCCACATTAGCCTGCTTTGCCCTTACCTTTCGACCACAAGCCAACTGCCTCGTCACTGCCCGCCATCTATGACTCGCCCCGCATCAGAGCCGATAATCGAGCTCGAAAAAATCATGAGCCATCGGATTTGTCACCTCACCGGCATTTTGAGGATCGAATTCCTCATCCACAGGAAGGACCGCACGCCAACTAAAGATAGCTGGGTGCCCTTGGCAAACATAAATAACCACCCTGCCATTCAAGAGTATCTGTGGAGCCGGGGTTTACGTGATATACACGCAGTCGCATAGCGGAGGGGGCTTCTTGAGGGGGGGGTTAGTGTAAGGAATTTTTTCGCCATTCCTTATTGTGACAGTTGACATCGCGTACAGCCGCACCCGTTGTTCGCCCATTACTGCTAACGGAGCTTTGCCAACTTCGCGCGCACTGTTTTACCAAACCTTGCACCGCTGGCCCGGCCGAGTCGGCCTACGCTTCGGGACTAGCCCGAACCTTACTGCAAGCATAGCACAAGGTAGCTCGCATGCACCGTGTTACCGTTTGCATGTTTCGTGTATTTATGTTCGCTCATGCCTTCGCTCAAATTTTGTACTCGTTCGACACCTTAGTGCAATCCTCACTACTTCAATCCATTGCACCCGTAACAGGTTGCCTATAGTAGTGGGTAAAACGTGATAATGGAGCAAGTGTGATAAAATGCTTATTGTTTATAGAGAATAAGTAGCCTACTGTTACGACTGCAATTGAGCGAGCTAGCGAGAATTGGATTATCGAAGCAAAACAACCCATCGAGCAAAGGAATGAGCAAGAACTAAATAGTGAAGGCCATAGTGGTAATGGTAATGAACTATAGGTGTTGCGCTACGGGCCTAGAACTGAGGTTAGGACTGAGGTTGGGAAGTGTTGAAGCAGAGGCCCAGAGCGCGGGTTACCAACCGAGCCGTGAGGTTGGGGTGCGTCGTGCGAGGTGGCGGGAAATGGTCAAGGCAAATGCCGCGAATGGTAATGGTGGCGAGTGTGGCGAGTACAGTGATGTACTCGCTAAGCAGGGATGCGACGTAAGGAAATAGAACTTTTCTTACACTATCCCCCCACCTAAGAAGGCCCTCCTTACGAGAGTGCATGTACATCCCAGAAATTGCGGCTGCGCAGATATTTGGTGAGAACGGGGTGGTTTTCAATCTTGTCCAAGGGTACCCAGTTGTCTTGGGTTAGGGTGTGGTCTCTCCAACAAATCAAAGACTCGATTGTGCGATCTCCATGTGGGTCACGAACTCGGTGGCTCAGGATTTTCTCGGGTGTGATGATTGGTTTGCTAGGTGGTCGTGTCCTTCAGTCTAGGCGGTGGCGAGAGAGTTGGCTTGTGGATAGTATGTAAGGTCGGAGTAGGCTGACGTGGAATGACAGGCTGACGTACCAGTCAGCGGGGAGGAGGAGGTGGGCCGTGACGGGTGTGATCAAGTGGCTGATGCAAAATGGCCCGCAATATTGAGGGCGGATTTTTGGGGTGATCAGCAGGAAGATATTTTGATTGTCGAGTAAAACTAGGTCGTTAGGCTGGTAAGTGACGGGGCAACGGTGGCGCTCGACGTTGCATTTAGCGAGTACGTTCGATTTTTTTATTGCGTCTGCTGCCCGGGTTCGTGCCGCCTATAGAATCTCAACAAACTGCTGCATAAGTGGCACGGGGTTTTCGGGATTCGGAGTCATGGGTATGGTGGGGACTTGTCCGTGTTTCAGGTAAAAAAGTGACTGTTGGGTCGTGGCGGATGGCGAGTTGTTGTACGAGAATTCTATGGGTGGCAAATGCAGTTCCCACGTGCCTGGATCGTCGCACGTGGCTCAAATGAGATGCTCCATGGTTTGGTTTGTCCGCCTGTCTCAGGGTGGTATGAAGAACTAAACTGTAGTCGTGTGCCAAACTGCTGCCACAAGTTCCACCAAAAATTGCTGGTAAACTTCGTATCTATATCGCTACTAATTGCTGCTGGTGTCTCGTGTAATCGAACGACGGTGGTGATGAAAAGCCGATCTGTTTCTTCGGCTGAGATGGATTTTTTGCATGCTTCAAATTGCGCCATTTTCGTGAGTCTATCAACGACAACCAGGATCGCGTCTTTCCCACTTGCCCCAGCAGGAAACCCCGTGACGAAGTCCATCGTCACCTGCTGCCAAGCACGCTCTTGGGGTGGTATCGGCTGCAACTGCCCTTTCGGCCGCTTCCGTGATGACTTTCATGATTTTGCAAGTGGGACACGATGCAACGTGTCGTTGCACGTCGGTCAGCATCTCTGGCCAGTGGTAGTTGTTGGTGTAAGGGCCTAACAAACTCAAGCTATCAAGACTTTATCAAACTTAAAACCTCGTTTCAGAGTCACCTCCAAGGAACCTTGGGTGCCTGGTATAAGACCAGCCCCTATCCTCGGGTCCAAGTTTGTAGAGATAGGGATCAAGAATGACTTAGTCAAAATAACAAGAGTACCTTGAACGTCGTGCAGCGTATCGTGCAGACCGTCGACCGGATTAAGCTAAGAATTTCCTATATCGAAGCTCACTCCCAGAGCTTTAAAGTAAGCCAAGTTGCCTTGCGAAAAAGTTCTGCCATTACGAAGTTATGGCTCAGACAGCGTTTGCCTAGCGTTGGAGTGCTAGCGTACTAGCGTTGACTCGGGTAGCATTCCGCCGTCGCACAGCGTAG